CAGACGTTCTACAAGCAGCCGGGAAGAAGTCGGGGATTGTGATAGATGAGACGACTCCGCTTCCCGAGCGTAGAGAGGAGCAATGCGCATCGTTCAGGCATGATCTTGGGAAAGTGTGCGATTGGATGGCGGAAGGGCGCACGCCTCTTATGGGGACACGCGGACGGTATTTTGCCTCTATGTCGTGTCGGTGAGGATAGCCTCGAGTTAAAAGATACATCGAGCTGGCATCCTATCGATGGAACATGTTGATCAAGATTTTGAGAAGCACCGGACTGTCAGGGCTAGCGTAGCGGTGACGGAAAGGTCCAGGCGGAACGCTCCTAGCTTGATACTGTACAAATTCAGCCCATCTGGCACCTCTCGGTCTTCTGGAATGTGGCAATACTACCCTTGCAGACTAGATTAGTTCTGTCGACACCTCGACCCCGTGCAGCATGAGCACATCGGAAGCATATGGGACCCTCTTTTCGTTTCTGGTACTAGAATGCCTATGTCTGTCCTCCGTCGGCGGTGTGGCTTCCAAAATGGCTCATCTTTGTCCCAATGCTTAGGTAGACAGCCAAGAATACGCATACAGACAAACTCAAGTCTGTTAATCCCCTTGACGTCTCAAAAGGTCCGGCTTACCTATGAGTTGAAGGCGTTCGAGCTCTTTGATTTGACGATGGTAAACTATCAAGCATCCATGTTATCGCTCTTTCCTTAATGATGTGTTATGCAGACGTTCTCTTCTTCCTCTGGATAAATGAGAATGCGCCATGGATTCCATTGAGCAATGGCACCTGTGCTCCAATTGGGAATTCACCGATTACAGTCGCTTCATTCTATAAACATCTAGAACTTGTTCAGAACCTCTGTATGTCATTCGATACTATGCTCGAAATCTCTTACTCACGTCCTCGATTGTTCTGATCTTATCGCTGTCTCGCATGTTTCGTTTGCCCTTACACAAGGTTGGTTGTTTACTCCGTCCTGTTGATCGTCCTGACTGACAAACTCGGATTCGGTAGAGCACCATTTGACATTTTCTTCTCGTAAGAGCGGCCTCGAACTTGGGTCGATCCCTATTCGGAAGAATTGTCGCCACTAGGTTGTGTCTGCCACTCTTATAACAATATTTTTAATTTAGCGCAATTTCAGACAAAGACAAGAGACAACAACTCAAATAAAGATTGACAAGAGGCTGAATCATCCTCTCTGCAATTCTTTCCTTTCTACTATGCCCAGCCGTCGCAAACTTTGCCAACCCGGACTCCATACTTCATCGTCCATTTCCCATACCGACGTTTATTTTGTATCAAACGCCTCACTTCCAAAGACCGCCACCATAATCTGGGAATGGACTCAGTGGTCACAAGCGGAAGTCTTGCCACCCTATTTCACGGACTTCTGTGACGATTTCAGAGGTGTGAAGTATACTGATCTCCCGGGAGACCGTGTCCACCTTCTAGGATTTCGTTTCCGCAATATCGACGAGTTCATAGACAGTATAGGCCTTATAGGCCGTTTCCCAGGATTTCAGGACATCAAACGGCTAAGCGTCGAGCAGCTGTTTTTCGATAAGTACCCGTCGATGGCTAGCCTGTCAGAGGCGTTTGGAGACCCGCGCCTTGGGAAGATTAAGGAGCTCACCCTCCAGCTGTTCCACGGGGTCGCAGTAGAGTTTCCCGCTCCTGTGCTTATCGCACTGCTTGCTCACTGCAAGCGTCTCGAGCATGTCCACTTCCGCGGATGTGGGCTCTCCAACGGCAATAGCAATAGTCTGAGGGGCTGTGAAATGTGGCAACATTGGCTCGCTCTATCGCACGGAAAGAATTATGCCGTCATCGAGGAACGCAGTATCGAGACTATTAGTTTCGAAGACGTGGACTGCCAGCGTATGGAGGATGTACTGGCTTTCGTGTCTGCTTCCGAGTCCCCGTTCAATCTTGGAGGCCTCCGCTGTCTTTCGATCCCTAGTCTCACCGACTTAGAGCCGCCCTCTGATAGCTTTTGCGCGACCCTGAAACAGATTCTCATAAGGGTCCGCGAACATCTCGAAGTGCTTCGATTGAGTTTTACCCTAAGGGATGACTGTGAGTCTGATTATTCATTACCTCCGGTGCTAGGTGGCTGACTTCGACCTCAGTGGTAGCTTTACCTCGTCTTCGCACCCTGGGGCTGTACGTCGGAAAGCGGGCCCAACGTGGCACGGAAGTACTGCGTTGGGGTGCTGAAATCTTGTCGAATGAGACTGTGGCGCCATCCATCGAGATTGGTTTCGCGTCTGCGTCAATGCAGTGGTACTGGCAGGATGAACTGCAACAACACTGTGAAGAGGATATGAGTCTTGTCAACTTGGTCAAGAGGAGGCACGGTGTCGACCAGGACATACACGAGGAATTGTCGGATCTGTTCTCGTCTTTTGACGGTCTGGACGAGATTTTAGCTGCTCGAGTCGCACAAGGAGCGGTGAAGAATCTACGGATCATTGGTCCCAGTCGAAACGATTCCGGTTTGGATTGGAATGAGGTGCTGCAGAGTACTTTCTTCCCTCGTTCTGTGGATAAATCGCGACTTTGACAGATTCCTTTGAGTGTATATCGTTAATGGACGAGTATATGTGAATGTCCTGCCGAAGTGGAACAAATCGATGTGACGTTTATCGCATAAAGCTCTCAGAGGTCCCGTGTTTGTGCGTAGCCGTTACGAAGAAGTCGTCTGCCACAAATTTCTCTTCAGAGTCCGAAGACCTCTTCGAAATTTGAAGTATCCATATCCTTTTGCCGCTTAGGTTTCGTGGCATCTATAACCGAAACACGAGTATGCGCGGCGAACTCGACGAACCCAAAATTCGAGAGGCGAGGATGTTCTCAAGAACGCCGAAATGTTAGTCATTTTCGACGCTCATTTGACTATGCCCTGTTCTCTGCGACGGTTGTTCGGAATCAAATAAACGCAGCTTTGCATCCGCATCGTAACCTGCTTGGTCCAGCACGTAACTGACTACGCGAAATGTTTCAAACGTTGCCTCTCCGCCTGAACATCGGATGGAATCTTCTGAAGCAGCGAATGCACCAATGTTGTGGCCCCGCTGCTGCGCCCGGTTGTTCAAGCAACGGCAATGATGCAAATAAATTCGCCGTCACCAATATTTAAAGGATGGCGGGAGCTGTGTCGTATCACAGAAATGGTTTTCCCTTCCCTCAGATCTCTAACATTCTTTTCTCTTCTCCTTCTTTTTGCCAACCTGGTGGATGCAAATCCTGTGCTGAAGCGCGAAAGCCGTACTTCGGCGCCCTCCGGTGCTGTTGTTGTGAGAGCTAGTGGAGCGGCGTCCGGAGAATACAGCACGGTGCAGGCTGCCGTGGACTCGCTCGCTGATGATGGGTCCGACCAGGTTATCTTCATTTATGAAGGCAAGTGGATTTCCCTGGCCAGATCTGTATTTCGAGGCTAACGGAGTCTGTTTAGGAACTTACACTGAGCAAGTCTACATCGATCGCGATGGCCAGACGACGGTGCATACTCCCCTTTTGCAAATAGGGTCGTGCTGATATCCGATGTCCAGATCATGGGGCAGACTTCTGATACCAGTAGCTACGCAAGCAACACGGTTACAATCACATATTCGCTCTCTCTGGCTAGTGCGGATGACGATGATTCGACCGGGACCTTGCGCGTACACAAGGACGACTTTGCCCTATATAATGTCAATGTGAAAAACACGGTACGCCTACAGCTCATTATGCATGAGAATATGTTCTGATCATGTATCATCCAGTTCGGTAAAGCTAGCACTGATGGCCAGGCATTGGCACTGAGTGCTTACGGAACAAACCACGGCTACTATGGTGTAGGCTTCTATAGGTAAATTATTTCGCGGCTCTTTCTAAGACGAGTAGTTTTTGACCATCTCGAACAGCTATCAGGATACGGTACTCGCACAAACGGGTAACCAATTTTATGGATCCTGTTACATTGAAGGAGCAGTCGACTACATTTTCGGTCAATATGCAAGGGCCTACTTCCACCAGTCCACACTTGCTTCCGTCGATGCTGGAGCAATTACCGCTAACGGGCGCTCATCGTCGGACGGAGTAAGCTTGTGTGAGTGGCCGCTCATTTCCTGCCATTCCAGGCGTAACATCTATCTCAGATGTCATCAACGAATCGACTATCACTACTAGCAGTTCGGCGACGACATCTCTTGAGGGGCTGGTCTACCTCGGACGTCCATGGGCAGCATATGCTCGGTATGTTGCCGGTATTTTACTACCCATACGTTCAAGGTCCTGATCAGGGCCGCATAGGGTCGTCTACACCTCCTGCTCGCTCGGAGACTTGATTAACAGTGCTGGCTGGGAGGAATGGTCTAGCAGCGAACCCAATACCGACGGTGTCACATTTGCTGAGTACGGCAGTTCCGGTATGTTGACGTTGCTGCGCCTTCATGATACTTTACTAACATTGTTTCTTTCAGGGGACGGCGCTTCTGGAACTCGTGCGTCGTTTGCTACAACGCTCACTTCGACCAGCGGCTATACAATATCGGATGTTCTGGGTAGTGATTATGCTGATTGGGTAGATGGTGATTATCTGTAACGTCCTCAATATGAATTCATGAGAGCGATATGTGTATTGGTGTATCCAGAGAAATTGCAGCTGCATTTGTTTCGTCTTTTTAAATACCTCGATTCGGGACGCGAAATGAAATTTTCTAGGGAAGCGCGACTACAGCTCAGATGGATTATAGAGATCAAGTCTCTGTCTGGTATGCACAACTAGTGAGGGAAATCAAACCGTACTAAGTACGTCACTTTCCGGACATATGACAGTCCTGAATGATCCTTGAATTAAGATCCTCGATAGCATTTTGGAGGAGCAATTCTGGTAAATCATCGATTATAAGGCGGGACTTGGGGGGGGGGGTAAACTTGTAAAGACAAAACCCTATAGGCCCTAGGCCCTAGGGACAAAATAACACAATAATACAGCATCGTAGGACAGCAAAACACTGACGAGAACGGGATTCGAACCCGCGCCCTTTCGGACCAGATTTTATGAGAAGACAGTAACTGCCTTGGTCCACAATTCCGATGTTCATAGTGAAATCGGACTTCCTTAGTCTGGCGCCTTAACCGCTCGGCCATCTCGCCGTGCAGAGCTGTCGAATGATACCATTTTCATTGCAAAGGACCCCAAAACGAGGGAAAAACAAATTGTGGAAGGGGGGATCGAGGCGATCGAAATTTGGCGTCGATCAAAGCTGGCCTAATTGGGAATTTTTGAGCCACCGATCCGTTGCCGACGGCTGGAGCTCGGCTTACAGTTCACCGCTGTAGCCTGTCCATATCGGACTACTCCATGGAACTGCACCGGTGCTTATGTTGTGTGGAGCTGCTAATAGTATCACGATTTTACGTTCTCAGTGTTTTCAATCGGTTACATTACGCGGCCATGGCACGGCAACTGGCTGAGTCCGAAACATGCCAGTAAGCAAGGATTCAAAAACCCGCTGTATTGATATTCTTCTTAACAATTTCCCAACCACCTCGGTCTTTGGTCTGTGGATACGACAAGTGAGAAAGTGATCCTATTGTCCTCGACACTTGGCCTGTCACACAAAGCTTGTAGTCTGAATCTGATTCAACGACGGGTCTTGGATGGGCCCCTCGGAATTGAATGCTCAAGTTATACTTAGTCGAAGAAATATGGCAAGGGAGCGCTAGATGATGCTCTTCAGTGAGACAAGAGATACTTTTACATTAAGAGTACATGTAATTTTTGTAAGTAAAAGAGAACAAGAGAATGTTTCGATTAGTACCCGATGTAAAGAAGTTTTATCGTACTTTTGTAGTATCGTTCGGGATAAAACTGCGGTGTTGTACAACATGATTAGTAGCTGATAAAGACAAAATAGAGATCAACCGATAAGCGAAATGATTGTACACAACAAAGTGAATGTTCCATGGCCAGCTGGATTTTGTTTTTCGAGGGGTCGGCGAAGACGCGATCACGACGAAGTCCACACCTGAAACCTCGCTTCAGAACGGGAAACATACGGCTGACTAGTCACTGTCCCAGTCAGATCATCGTCGCCCTTCAGACGCACGCAAGTGACTCACTGGCATTCTGGGAACGCGATGTACTGGCAGCCCGGCTTGCAGGGCTTCCCCACCTCTATGCGCCTCTTCTCCTTTCTCGGCATCCCATCGCATAAGCACTTGGGAGCCGCGGCACCATCGAGCCACGCGCGCTTATCGGCGAGGTATTTCTGGCGCTGTGGGCATTGGACGCGATTTTCGGTGGTTGTGACCTTGCCGCAAGTGTAGGTGTATTGGGTGGTTATGTGAAGGCACATTTTAACGAAGGGAGGGAGATATTAGATGGTAGAGAGAAACGCAAACGATGAACTTCCGGCCGGGGAAGAATGGGGACAGGACAAAGAATGGGAGTCGTTATAAAGGTCGTTGAGAACTGTGAGTGGAAGGCCCGATGACCCGGACGAATGGAGAAGATCATTTGGGGGTTGCGGAATTTGAGACGTAAGAGAAATCCACCCTCGGGGACAATAGAGATTTTTTTAATATACAGTCACAGTCAGAAGGAAAAGATCGCACTTGCCCCTTGCAGGGCGTGAAAATCCTATTGGTGGCGTCCAAGGTTCACAGTTAGATTCGCAGTGATTGGTCGACTCTCACAGCCAGTCTAGACTCGAGTAGCGCTCGTATCCCATTGCCTAATGATGACGCATGGAACAATAATGCTCCGAAGCCGCAAAGGCACATTCGCTTGCGCGGTAATTGAGGTCCGGATAAACGAAAGCTGGATTGTATGTACATATCTTGGTCGTCCTTCAGACTTTTGTATCCTTTGCAGAAATAGATTAGGCGTTGGTGCCCTCAGTTCTGACATTCACAGACGCACCTCGTGTGAGTCCCTGTCAGAAACGACACAGTACCTGACGTCTCCGGCCTTGCCTGCAGGGACGCGAGACACAATGTGAAAACGAGTGACTTGCATAAGTCCGTCAGAAGACAGAGGCAGGCCTGTGAGGTGGAGGCTTCTGTGGCGGGGAAGGCAGTCAAATGCTTGCACTGTTCACCCTGAGCTGTCATGGCGACCCCAGGATTATTTTGCTGAAAATCCCACAACGGGCTTCTACCAGGCCTAGGTCAAGGTCAGTGCTTCAGATTTAGAGCATAGTTCAGCCTTGCCACCGGTCGTAAGAAGAGCCATCGTGAATGATAGATGACTGCAACTTTGGAAACGGCGACATCCGATAAGAATCGGAGCCTCTCAAAAGCAGCGTCCTTCCTTCCTATTTCAACACGAATTTGACGGATTCAAGACGGATTACAGTTTAATGCTTATCACCTGGTCTTTCCCAGGGTAAACAGAAGGGATCCTTACCGGGCGGCTGAAAGGTTCCGAGGAAGCCATAAGGCGATTCGAAGGGACCTCTCGATTTCCTGGAAGCGAGCTGGAAGGAAGGTCACTTAGGTGGGTTGGAAATTGGAATGCCAACAGAGGCCGGCCCGCCAGACCGCATTACCAGTTGCCGAAGGCGGCAACGTGTTTAGTTGCGCCCGTGCTTGCGCCGTCAATCCTTTCCTTTGCTCCGCAACGACACTTTTCCTCAGCAGCCATGGCGTCGCTTCAGCATTTTACGTTGAATTTAATGCCGCTTTCCTTGCCCTTCGTATTCTATCTCAGGACCTCTGACCTTTGATGCTACTAGATGCCACACTTCGTGGCCAGAAATACCAACATCATATTCTTCAGGATGGATTTCGGATTTCTTTGCATATTCATGAAAGAATCATGAAGATAATTACTGTTAGTGCGTCTGTAGCTTGTATTTCGTTCCGTCTGGCTTACTTTTGGCGGTCTAGCTCGAAGACATTCCGAAGGAATCGTGTTGCAATATCCTGGTGCAGCGGAGAAAGACATTCGGACCAAATTAGAAGTAGACGGAGCCCAGGACGACCTCAATGTTCAACCTAGATCAATCCTTCAGCCCCAGCAACTTTCCGTTACCCATTAAAGCGCTGGGCAGCGCCTATATCGACAAATACTTTGGACTAAGATCGACTGCGGCCATGTTTCTCTAGGACTATCCGGGCGATGTAGGCCTTGACTTCTGATGCAAATAAACGGCACAACGATGAGCTGTACGTTCACTCCCCATACAGGTTTTTACTCATAATATTTTCCCTTTAGTCTTCTCGTCAACGTCTCTCGTCATCGAGAAACTCTGTTTTTGAATGATGGTGTTTCGTTCACGATGTGTTGTCCCAATATAGTTCTTCGGCTGGCGCGATTGGCGATTTCTAAACGGAAACAGGCCCTTTTTCGAGATACTACCCTCTCGTAGATGTACCTGCTGACGTTGAAGCATCCGATGACATTCCTCGTTACACGGTTCGCATCATGGTTAGTCTGTTGCTGTTTTCGTATACAGTGGACCAGCGCGCTTACTGCGCCACCTTAGGCTGGCACGTTATGCGCCTGATATGACGGTGCCTTCCCCTAGTAGCCTTCGCTGTGAAGACAGGTCTATACGCCTTTGTAACCTACAGTTATTTTCGGTTCGCTGTTCGCGCGATGAAACTGAGCAGACCCGGACCGATGAAGCCGCATTTTTTTTTGTGGAGCGTTGTAAGTAATTGAATACATAGTATCTCGCTTGGGTCTGGGGACACGCCCCTGTGGAGAGAAATGAAATGAGAGAGAGACCATAACGATGAGAGCCGAAAACCGGGGAGCACCACGGGGAAATGCTATTACGGTGTGGGGCTCGGTGCCATCCTCGCGGCCTCTTACGGCCCGGCACGATACCCACTAAAACCCGGTTCTGGTCCCACCAGTCCTCCGGTAAGGATGAAGACGCATCTTATCGATCGACAATCATGTCAAAGACTATCATTTTCTACGATATCCCCTCAAAATTGCCCATCAATGCATGTTCCCCCAATACGTGGAAGGGCAGGTCAGCTAGCTTCGTGTATTTACTTAGCATCATCTCTTATCTTTGATTAGGTACGCGCTGAACTTCAAGGGCATACCATACCGCACGGAATGGATTGAATTCCCCGATATCGAGGCGTTGTATAAGAGACTTGGCGTACCAGCCGGTGCTACCCAACAGGATGGCGTGACACCATACTACTTCCTCCCACTCATCCACGATTTGTCAACTGGTGCTATCATATCCGAATCAGCTGCCATTGCCGAGTATCTCGACGCCACTTACCCTGATACTCCGCGCCTTTTCCCTCCCGGTACACGAGCCTTGCATGCTGCGTTCACGGCTGCCTTTGAAGCCCTGCTGCTGAAGACGATAATACCGCTCTTGGTCCCCGCAGCCAATGCAGTACTGCATCCCCGAAGCGAGGCGTTCTACAGGAAGACCAGGGAGGAGGCTTTCGGGCAAACACTTGAGGAAATGGATCCGCATGGGGCGCGTAGAGAGGAGCAATGGGCGCTCTTTAAACTTGACCTTGGCAAAATTAACAGCTGGATAGCGAAGGGGGATGCGTTTGTTACAGGGAACGTGCCTACGTTTGCAGACCTCACCGTGTGCGGATGGATGTTGACTTTTCGCGTCGTCTTCGGCGAGGACAGTCGAGAGTGGAAGGATTTGTCAGTGTGGCATGATGGACGGTGGGGGAGGTTGGTTAAGAGTCTGGAGAAGTACGAAGTGGTTGTGTAGGGCTATTCTTCGCAGTTGCCATTTGCAAGATGTTGGTGGTCTGGGACTGCCGTTCTGTTTGTCCTAGCGAGAGATTGACTAATTCCCAATTTCTTGTCTGACCCTGAAACCCGCAAAGGGCGCTTGATCCGAATGTCGACCCTGTCAATGCAGCATCAAACACGAGGTATCCCTTTTCCCTTTTCAGCGTCGCTACTGCTTTGTCTGCCACCTTTGCCTTTGTGGTGCATCCATGGCTATGCAGGACTTGGGTTATATTCGATGACATGACCCGTCCTCTTGTGCATCTTTTTCCCTCTGTTCCCTCGTCCTGGTGGCACCTTCGTTGTTTTCTTCATCATTCGCTTTACTTTCCGGGATTGCTACAGCTATGCCTACTACAACTTCAAAAAAGTCTATCGACTTGACCGTTCTCAAAGCGCAATTGAGGAAGAAATCTGG